GCCAGCGTATCCCGTTAGCGCAGGCGGGGTTACCATACCATTTTCACCCATCAAAAAAAATCCCAAGGTCTTTCCAAAAGACTACATCATGGGGTTCTTTATAAGTAAGTAATGCCTCTAGTATTGCAGGCGTTCATAGGCTACGGTATCCGCTTACCATCATGTGGGCCGTATACTTGTTTGCCACCTCAGTGGTATAAAAAAAAACAATATCATTAAATATAAGTTATTGTATCTATTTTTCTTTATTTTATTTATTAATTTATTATTAATTAACAATGCAGTTTAGTTATTTAGTTAGGTATCAGTATGTTAGACAGCTGGCTACTTTTTGCACATACATACATACATATGTGTTAATAATTCTAAATTATATTATATATTGAATATACATATTTCAATTATGACTAATAAATAATAAAATAAATAATTCTGGCGTATTAACATAGTGCTTGCTGGGGGGAAAGGGATTGTTAGTAATGGGGTCTAATAGCCCCATTACTGGCAATATATCCTCTCAGGTTGACCTCCACGCGGTTCCCCCTGGAAACCATCATGTTTAATTTATGTCGAATTCATCATGGTGGGCCAACTAACCTGCATTCATTCTCACCTATCACCTTCCACTGGTGCCTCGTCGGTGTATACCAATAGCGCGGGCGGGGTTACCAATCCATTTTCATCCATTAAAAAAAAAACATAGTGCTCGCTATCTAATCCTAAATTTTACAGTCTATAGACAGTGGATATAAGGAGAGCAGAAATAGAAATAGGTACCAGGTGTTGTCCACTTTGTCCGTACATATTTTACAGAAACGAAAATCAATCTAAAGTGATTAAAGCTTGAAACTTGTTCTATTATAGTTAATGTATAATATTTCAATGGCAAATAAACTTTGAAACAACAATTGCTGAAATGACGGCTTGTAATTCAGATGACATTCAGATACGCCGGATCCTCCCAGGAGAAATCAAAGTTGACATCGAATCCCAGCCGTTGGCTATTTTAAGTCTACAAATTTACTGAAATTAATAAAATTATTAAATGGATATTTTTTTAATATATATATATATATATATATATATATATATATATATATATATATATATATATATATATATATATATATATATATATAGATTATCATGATAGATGACGTGTTGCTATACTTGAGGACAATGAGTAGGACCTCATGCCTCCGTATCCTGCATTGTAAATCCGTAATTACAATTCCATGTCTACTCTCCGCTATAAGGCTATAAAAAAACTTGCACCTTCGTACGCTAGATTTTGGAAGTAGAATTATCATCGTCTTCATGTCGACCATTATCTGTCCACTGCTGGACATAGGCCTCCTTCGACGCTGCCATAAGGAACGGTCCTGGGCCACCTGTATCCACTGACTTCCTGCTATTTATCAATCAATCATCTTTATTCATATACATCTGTTACAGATACTTATGATACGTCAATCTATAATTATAATAATTACTATAGAAAATAATATTGAGTTAAGAAAAAATACAATAATTACATTTACAATACAATTCACATTAATACAAAATTCAAATTCATGCAGCTTTTGTGCAGAGAGTCCTTTTTATATATGTCTTAAATTTTCTTTCATTTAAATGTAAAACGTCATCTGGAAGTTTATTACAAAAACGTATACTGTTCCCCATGAAAGGTGTACTGACTTTCCTAAGGCGATAACAAGGAACATTCAATTTCTTTTTATTTCTTGTATTGAAATTATGTGTGTCACTGTTATTTTTAAAAAGATTTATATTTTTACGTACATACATAATGTTTTCGTATATATATTGCGAGGGAAATTTATTTAAGAACCGTCGAGAATGGAACTGTTAAAACCGCATTTAATTTGATGCAGTAATTTTTACGTGATATCTGAACAAATAATTGGACAAAATATTGTTAAAAATATTATTTTGGTTTGCTTTTCACTATTAAGACTTCTTATAATATTTATTTCTTAAGTATCTGGGTAAAAATATATTTTAGTTACAATTTTTTTTTTTATAAACATGTATAATAGTTGTAAATAAGTAGCTATCTTATGTTTTAACGATATAAAACAGTTCAATGTATCTGAATATGTTTACATTGTAAGTATTAAAAAAGTTTTTGTTAGCACTCATTTATTCTTGAACACATTACCCGAAATAAAAGTGACTAAACTGTGTTAGAGTTGATTTAAGAACTTTAATATTACGTTAAAATTGATAAAATAAAGTCTACAATAACTTACCTGTGAGTACAGTGGAATAAATTGATAATTGTGTTTTTAGTCGCCGTGTGTGTATTTTTAATCGACTCTCTAGAAAACAATGGTAATATGAAAACTATTAACTTAATAAAAAACGTTTTTACATGGAAGTTACCTATTACTGTAGAATCTCAATTATCCGAATATTCGATTATCCGGACTTATTCTTCACAGCTCTAATTACCAATTTAGAAATCGTATTATGTATAGATTGGGTAAATGGGTATTATGTAATCCATTATCTTTATAGCTTTATTTTTTATATAGTATTATCTAAACGACTTATGTAAAACCCTTTATATAATTAAAAAAAAAATACATATCAAAATGTAATTAACGTTTGATTCGACTTTAAAATCCATTATCCGGATTTTCGATTATACGGAATACCCCTAGTTTTATTTGTCTCGAATAATCGAAATTCTATTATATTGCATTAGTTTTGTAACACTAGAATTATTTACGATCATCACAATGATAAGTTTTGTACCTAAAAGAAACGGTGTTCAATAAATAATGTCAAACTTAGCGAAAGTAAGCCAGCCAGTACCGAGTTAATATAATAAAAAGGACACTTTTCCTTGAGCAATCGCGCAAAAGCAATAAATTGTAATGTAATATACTCCTACCAGTCCTATGTTGATACAAGTAAACACGCGCTGTATATAGCACGTGTAAGCTGAATGTAACGCCCACTAGAGGAATATACAGACGATAAAAACGATCACTATTTTTATGTAGATCTAGTATATTTATTGTTCACCGTGTATCAATATTTATTTTAATATACATCCTTATTTTAATATATGTACCTATATTACCAGAGGGAGATTTTGTACAAAAGTCGTTTGCTTGAGCACCTCTGTCCCATTCGATTTTCTAACGTGAAGTAGTTATGTTTGCATGGCTGTGTTTCGGTCTAAAGGGTGAGATATGACAGTGAATTTACAGGGTACAGAGGGATAACACCTGAGTTCTCAGGAATGGCAACGCATGGGGGGTATCATGGGCGAAACAGTATACTCTTACGTCCATGGTACCATGTCTATAGACGACGGTTAACTTGAGATAATCTATGCCGAGCCCACGACTTCGTCCACTTGATTTTTTATGGTTAAAAATGGAACAATAGCCCCATTTGTCCTATAGGTATATGCTGGAGCACTGGATGAAAGCAGATCAGTTGACCTATCGTCACAAATTCAAGAGCATCCAAAATGGCAGTTGACATGTATATACTCCGCTATCTTTTGCAATTGTTCCCGCTCTTAAAATGATTATTAATAAAGTAACAAGTGAAATTGAATAACAAGTTCTATTTAAATATAACAATAACTACGAGCGGCTGTGACACAAGAGCGAACCTAACTGCGCACCTCGGTACACTGAGCGCGAACTGTAGACGTTCGCAGCAAGACTAAGGGTCCCGGATGGTCCCGAAACTAGTCAAGCTCACTCGACCAAATTACACGTAAGTTCAACTGGTAATTGTTACTTTAAAATACAATTTAATTATTTATATGCAAAATATAGTGGCAAAAAAATATTGTTTTTATTACTGCATTAGTAGTTTTATAACCATAACACGTGTTACCTATTTACGGTGTAACTAGTTATTACGTCTAATTCACGACATTGATTGACTATGACAGGAGTCCGGAATTGACCCTAAGCACCAGTAATTATTGTTCATAGAATTGACCTTAACTATTAGATTAGATACTTTGTACAAAAGTCGATTGCTTGGGTACCTCTGTCCCATTCGTGTTTCAACCGTGAAGCAGTTGTGTTTGCATGCCTGTTTCGGATTCAAGGGTGGGATATAGCGTGAATTTACATGGTACAGAGGAATAACATGATATAGCCTGAAGACAAGACATTATTTCTGACTTTCTATTTACGACATAAAATATTTAAAATTCTGAAATAGCTTATGCGACCATACCATACCATACCAGCTGTTAACTGACCACTGCTGAACATAGGGCTCCACCTTGGAGGGTTTTGCTAGTGGCAGGCAGGTTAACAACTGCAGTTAGGCTATAGTGATGTTTAAAGAGGAACACTACTGTTCATCCCTCGATCATTAAGTTCCCTTAATCACCTCTTACGACACTCACGGGAAAGGAAGGGGTGGCCCATTCTATACCGGGACTAAACAGCACCAAAGTTTATTAGATATTTAAATAAAATACTTGTATGATAAACCAACGTTTCGCTATCACTGATTTGTTGTAGGTTACCTTCGTTTTTCATGGAAACATCAGGAAATCTCTTTTTAATACAAGACACATTTGTAGGTACAGCATTTCTCGTTCCTAACGCTAGTGTTTGCCTGCTTTGACTGTGTATTCTTCTATTATATTATATTATATTTAATGCCCATACTCGTAAACCTTCGACTCAGTGCAACGAAGAGCTATGAGAATTGTCGATGATCCCATGCTTGCAAGCGGTATCGAACCCTTAAGTCTTAGGAGTGATTTTGCCTCACTGTGCGTGTTCTACCGCTTGTACAACGGATTGTGCTCAGAGGAATTATTCAATATGATGCCTACGGCCACTATCTATCATCGTACGACTCGCTATTGACAGGGAGTTCACCCTCATACCCTACTTGTGGAATGAGCTCCCTGCCGAGGTTTTCCCAAGAGACTACAGCATGGGGTTCTTCAACTGTTTTCTGATTACAAAAAACTTTATAATACTCACAAGCAAACTTCAAATGCACTGGATACCCGAGGATGTAACCACCGTGGCGCCACGCCTGGCATTGGTACACACCCTCGCTGTTATTCTGTTTGCGATACACCTCCAGGGTGCCATTTGGAGAGACCCTGCAAACAATTGTCCACATTTTACTGGTGATACATTAACTTGTTACATTACATTACACACAGGTACACCACTGTATATACAGTTTCATAATTTTTTGATCACTTAGAACGGCAAACTTGATTTTATATTTTTTTTTATACCACTGAGGTGGCAAACAAGCATACGGCCCACCTGATGGTAAGCGGTTACCGTAGCCTATGAACACCTGCAATACCAGAGGTATTACGCGTGCGTTGCCGACCCTAAAGAAACCTTTTTACCTCCCTTTTGAAGATGGTAACTGTCATTTATATTTTATAGTCATTACATACAGTAAACCATGTTACTCTTGGTACCCCCTACACGTTGCTATTCCTATAGACTATTCTTCTATTTATTTGTTATTTTATCAATTTTTTTTATATATATACATACACGTAATATAATTTGTACAATCTTAGTATTATTTATACTTATATTACACAATTAAGTTGCCAATCTGTACAGTCGACTCCTGTATTTTTTTTTAATGAATAATAATGGAATGTTAACCCCGCCTACGCTATCGCTATACGCTAGTGGGGCACCAGTGAGGGATGTTAGGTGACTAGAATAAACCACGACGGTTTCCAGGGTGATCCACGTGAAGGTAGACCTGACAGAGTGTATTGCTGGCAATGGGTCAATTAAACCTCATTACTAACAATCCCTTTTCCCCTTAACTCCTGTATTAGTTCTATATTAATTTATCGAGATTAATGTCGCCGCATTTCTTTACAGAACAAAGTCTTGCTTGCATGTCAAAATGTATTTATTGTAGATAAATGATACAATATAATATAATAATAATTTAATCTAACGTGTCTACAGAACATCTAGTCGTCATTAGGTAAAAATAACGAGCTTTTTTTTTTAATTTAAAATAAAATATATAAAAAACAAAATGAATGTAGCAGTGTTTGTGCAAAGGACCTAAATCAGCATATGTCGCAGTTTCAAATCTGAAGCTACGACACTGATTTTCAGTAGGCCCTAAATACGTAACTCACGGACACATGTGTGCAAGAGATGTAATGTATAAATATATAAGAATAATATATAAAACAGTGATAAATATATAAGATAAACACGGGAATAAGGATAAGCGATATACATTAGAAATAGATCCAACGATGAGTCACATGAGAAAGATAAAAGATACAAGTAGTGGCTTATAGTGCACAGCACCTATCCCTGCAAGCTGTAAGTCATATGGCTTTAAGAAGAAAAGGAAAGTGTAGCCCGTAAAAGGTATTGGTTATGATGCAATTTGTTTCTTCAATAATAAAATTTTTAATAGATATGACCTAGGGAAACAAGGCAAAGGGAATATCTAATTCTGTTTTAAAGTATTTGATATACTTAAGAGAAAAATATTTATTTAATAAGTAATTGGATTTGTGTTTAAAAATAGCGATATAATGTTATTATTATCTTTACATATTAGATTACAGAGCTTGTCGTGAATAATTGAAGACTTTTTCTTGACATTTTTATAGGACTAAAATAGGAGTTAACATTTTCATTTTTTTTTAAACTTATTATTATATTATATTATCTATAAGCGACAGTTACTACTTTCAATCATAAAAAAAAGAAGTAAGGCATCCTATTTGGTGTAGTAGTTTTTTTTTTTTTTATACAACTCAGAATGGCAAACAAGCTGACGGCCCACCTGATGGAAAGTGGTAACCGTCGCCTATAGACATGAGCAGTACCATGGACATAACAGAGTATACTGTTTCGCCCATGATACCCCCCATGCGTTGCCATTCCTGAGGACTCAGGTGTTATTCCTCTGTACCCTGTAAATTCACGCTATATCCCACCCTTCAAACTGAAACACAGCCATGTAAACACAACTGCTTCACGGTTGAAACACGAATGGGACAGAGGAGATTTTTTAGAATGATGGTGAAATATAACGCACGAAACTTCTAACAAAGCAAACTTATAACTATACCTATGTATATGCAAATAAATAATTGGATTAATTATTAAATTACCGTTTGGGGTTAATCTCGACATTGTCTCGTCTCCAAATGAAGTTTCGCGGTCGGTCCTGGGTGCGTGGCTTGTCCTCGGACGCGAGGGGCGGCGGGGGCCGGCGCGGCTGGCTCCGCTGACCATCGGCCACCAGGCACGACAGGCTGGCGCGTGGTGATGGCCACCATGTTATATTGTGTACATCTGGAAGAAACGGAACGGAATATCAAAAAGAGTAAAGAGTACTCTTCAAAATTAGCAACGCGCACATGATTCTGGTATTGCTGGCGTTCATGAGCTATAGAAACCGTTTACCATCAGAAGGGAAGTATGCCTATTTGCAACCGCAGTGGTATATAAAAAAATATAGACACGACTGTCCTATCAATTTTTTTTTACATTTTAAAACCGTACGACCGCTGTATAGAATTAAAAAAAAAAAACTACTATAACCATACTCCATACATCTAAATCTGTTCAGGCATTTAGAAGTTATGGTGGTATAGAGAAACTCACATAACATTATACTCTTTTTTTGAGCAATTGTGTATATTATTGAGTGATTGAAACATTTCAAAACGGATATTGTTAATATTAGCATTAGTTACTAGCCACCCTATAGGAAGTACCAAGAATTCAAAAATACTGGCATGCACTTCCGAAGACTTTTGACTCTTCCCTCAAATAGAATACGATAATTCAATTATAAAAAATCACTTTAATATAATATTATAGAATGTAAAAATTAAGAGATTTTCAATTCAATTGTATTTTTTTTATTTAACAGTCACAGTAAAATTTACACAAATAAAATTAAAATTTACACAGTAAAATAACTTTTACATAAATACAATGTAATATTGCAGTAACAACCTATTTAACATTGATAATATTTCCACGAACTAATGAAATTTCAAAAGGAATAGACTCGAAAAATAATAGCAATTAGGAAGACACGGGTCCTGTGTGTCCCACTCGTGTTAATTGTGTAATAGGATTGATTACGAGCACCGGCAGAACTATTATATTATAGGTAACTAAAGGCTACTAGGCCAGGTTTACTAATTGGGCTTTCCAAATGAGATTACTGTTGTAACACAGCCTCCACGCCCCATGTGCGACTACATTCTGAAAGGGATGTGAAAACTATAATATCATTACCAACCGACTTCAAAAAGAAGAAGTTTTTCGACCTGTTTAGCGTAATAGTTGACTGGTAAAGAATGTCATTAGGCATTTAGTCCGTTATTTTAATATTTTAATTATTACTTTAATGTGCACAGTATTTTATATATATATATATATATATATATATATATATAATATAATTAAATAATTTTTCATAAATTAAGTTGAGTATAATACATATCCAATGGAGGGGAAAGGGATTGTTATTGTTAGTAATGGAGACTGAGAATCCCATTGCTAGAAATATACCCAATCAGGTCGACCTCCTCGCGGTTCCCCCTAGAAACTATCATGATTAATTCCAGATGAATTCATCATGATGGACTAACTGGCCTGTTTTCATCCTCATCGAACATCCTTCACTTGTGCCCCGCGAGCGTATCTCGTTAGCGCAGGCGGGGTTACTATTCCATTTTCATCCAATAAAAAAAATACAAATCCAATGATAAGGGTGTTATCGTAATGAAAAATCCACTTACCCCTTAAAATAAGAGTACATTTTGTGGAATAAAATAGATCTTAAAACATCGAAAACAATGAAATGCATCAAAATAAAAACAGTGAATACGTTTCGTAGAAATATTAGATTGAAAATAGATTAAAAATAGATATAATCTTTATTCGAATAGACTTGTTTACAAGCTCTTTTTAAATTGTTATTTTTTATGATTCTACTACTGTGTTCGGAATGTTATTATCTGTTGAGAAGTACCCGCAAAAAACCTCAACAGTTACTCTTTTCAATTTGTTTACATACAAAATAATTTCACATTTACTTAGGTATTGTGAAATATAGAGATTTTATACACAAACATACAGATTTTAGCCTATCATTCGTTTGCCATGTAGGTAACTCACATGTACCTATACGAATTCGAAAAACGTTCCCCTCCTTTGGGAGTAAGGTAAATAATACTCATTTATATACAACTAAAAAACAAAGCCATGATCGATGGCCGAGCTTACTCGCGGCTGTAACGGCTCGCCATTAAAACTTCGAGATTGATCACCGAAAGTAAGCCGCAGTCATCTTTACTCACAGTTTAGGTAAATCACGTCGATATGAACCATAAAATCAGTTATTATTTAGGTAATTTTATATATATATATATATATATATATATATATATATATATATATATATATATACTACTTACTGTGCTCAACAGGGTCCATAATTGAAACCTTATGTAATAATTATGTATTATATTAATTAATTATTATTTACCCGCCCCGGCTTCGCACGGGTGCATATTACATCACATCACATTAGAAACCTTTAAAAGTATCAGTGTTTCTCTACAATATTATGCATGTATTATACATATAAACATTCCTCTTGAATCACTCTATCTACTAAAAAAGACCGCTTCAAAATCCGTTGCGTAGTTTTAAAGATTTAGCATACATAGAGACGGACAGACAGCGACAGCGACTTTGTTTCATACTATGTAGTGATATAAAGCAGATATAATGCTAAAAGCATTCTCTCCCAATCAGATTTAGAGAAAAGTTAGAATACTCGAATATAGTATTAGTAATAAATGATATACATATATACTAAATATATATGTGTATATATAACTAACATATCTGTTCTTTCTCTCTCCCTTATAGCCGACGTTTCGACGTGGATTTCACTATATCGTGTTCACGACAAGTGACGTGAATAAAATTGTTACATTTGAAATTTCAAGATATATATAATTGGTAGATCGCACAAGGTTTCAGTAAACAGTGTATCTTGGATCTAGTCAAGTCGGCCACTACTGGCGTAGCCACTAGAGGTACGAGTTCATATACCTACCGGCCGCTTCGTAATTTTTCACTCAATAATTAATAGAACATGATGTTCATAGTTTAATAACAGTTCTAAAAACATAACTCCATAATATTTATGAAAAATACAATAGAATTAAAAATCGACAGGGAATTCATTGTCATGTCCTACAGCCTCAATGGTCGCGTACTGCTCGGTTTCAGAGATGTTTCCTCCCACGAACACTCAGGTTGTAGAATGAGTTCCCTGCCGAGGTTTTTCCAAGAGGCATGGGGTTCTTCAAAAGGGGGGTAAAGAGGTTTCTTCAGGGTCAGCAAAGCACGCGTAATACCTCTGGTATTGCAGGTGTTCATAGGCTACGGTAACCACTTACCATCAGGTGGGCCGTATGCTTGTTTGCCACCTCATTTGTATAAAAAAATAATCTGATGCTTTTTAACATTGGTTAAAAAGGACTCCCGCCATATTCCAAATCCAGGAGCCTTAGATTATGTAGATAGAGTGTCTGTCATACAAAAGCTTAGAAAACATCATCTGTCATACAAAAACATTTTTACGTGATAAATAGTTATAAATGTTTCCTTTGTAACTTTTATATTTCTTTTGTTTTATAATTTTTGCATCTTTTTAATGCATAGAAACTCATTTTATTTATTAAATAAATACAGATACGTCAAGATATATTATGTGCGTAAGTATATAGAACATTGGCAAAAAACGTATCAGCTTGTTTGACATTTAGCTGACAAAAAGTTGATAAGTTTTTAAGACTCGATGATTTATAATATCTATAACCTAAGCCAGAAACGTTTAAAAATACAACAAAATATTCCAGTTTAATTTACCACCTGATAGTATTCCTTACTAGTAGCTAGAAACTCACCTCCCGATAGTGTAACCAGAAACACAGCCCGGATAGTTAAGAAATATCAGTTTCAATGGTGATGAAACCTTAAAATTATCAACTTAGTATATTTAAATTTGTTTAAAACAACTTAGAACTTTTTTTTTATACCAGAAAGGAGGAAAACAAACATACAGCCCATCTGATGGTAAAATGTAAATATATTATCAACGTGTTGTGCAACTGATGTAAATCTGATGGTAGTAGGTCACTATAGACATAGTATACATAATTTTACAATGTTTAAAAAGATTTCATTTATTAAAGTACATATTTATTTATCTAGTTATATTTATTTATTTATTCATTAGTACAAATATGTGTACATGGCGGACTTAATGCTAAAAGCATTCTCTCCCAGTCAACCATAGGGAAGTGTCAGAATACTCGAATGCGGTACTAGTAATTATTGATATGCATACATACTAAATTTACATATATAAACGAATAAATATATATGAATAACAAATATACTTACACATATATGATATATACTATATCATACACGAATTTGGGAATAATATAAAGCACCTAATCTTTTATAACTATAGAAATTTAATATAACTAGATAATTTGAGTATTATTGTTTTCTGTTAAACTACATTATAAATTAGATAATATTTTCCAAATACTTTTAAATATATGTATAAAACAGATGACAGTCAAACGAAATACCGACCTTGTTCGCACAGCCGATCTCTGGATTATTTGGAAAAAAAAAAATACTTACTTTGATTGCTGAACATCTCTCGAAGTCTTCCAGTATTCTCTCGCTCAGTTTAACGAAAACATTCGATGGAGTATTTTTATTCTAAACTACGTATAAACTGTAATAATAAAATTTAAACTGTACAGAAAGATATGCTCGGAGTTTAAATGTTTTTAACAGCACTTATCTTATTAAAGTATTTATTAAAACATAAGTATTAAAAAGATTTAGGGACAAACAAATGTCCCTAGAATAACCAAAGTGATCGATATAGCCTCAAGGATCGAAAAGCTGATATGGCAATGCGTAGATATATCGTAGTTTCAACGTCGACAACCAATACAGTGACACAGGATTGACAGTCTCAAATGTATTGTATCGAATCAATGAAGTAAAGAATCTAGCAGACTTATATTTTAAGACACAGCAATAGACTAAATCTAGAAATGTAAAATTTTGTACATTTACTTTATAAGAAAACATTTCAAACATAACCAAAAATATTTAGAACCGAGACAATTTACTTATAATTCATCATATAAACTATCTGTCATAGATTCAAATATCAGTCCACCGCTGGACATAGTCCTCTCGCAATACACTAAAGTTAAAAAATTACTTGGAAAGCTAAAGTAAAAAGAGATTGCATAGCAATAAGACCGCCTTTTGTACTACACTATACGTATTAAAAATTGTTCAACAAATCCTGTAATGTTGGTGCAATAAAGGGTTAAATAAATAAAGTTCATAAATTACGTGGAAACTGTAGCCTCCAATAGATTGTCATCTAATAGTTATTCAAGTAAAAATGTTTTCATACATGAGGTAAAATTATAAACGAATGGGTAACCAGAGTCATATTAAAATCATTAGCGTTAACTAAAATAAATCTACCAATTCTACGAAATATATTAAATATACGTTAATCAAAAAGTTAAAAACGACAAAAAATTTTCAATCTTCCATATTAAGTCAGCTAAACGTGATGTTTTAGTAAAATTTAGGCAAAATGTTTTTTATTTTTGTCGTTTTTCTACCCCATATATCTTTGTTGAAAATATTTTAAATTCACTAATAGAATACTCCCTTGTATACTGACAGTTTCGTTATCACCCTATGTAATAGAACAGTTGGGGTGAAAGGAATTGTTAGTAATGGGATCTAATGAACCTATTGCTAGCAATACACCTTATCAGATCGCGGTTCCGCCTGGAAACTATCGTGGTTAGTTTTATTGTAATTCGTCACGATGGACTAACTCACTATCATCACCTATCATCCCTCACTGGTGCCCTGCCAGCGTATACTGTTATACAAGCAGGGTTACCATTCCATTATTACGCTTTAAAAAAAATAGCACAGATTATCCTACGTTCAGTCATTCCCATAACATATTAAACGTGATAAAACATACATAAGTCGACTCTTTATGGCGGCCTATTTAAATTACTACCTCATAACCCTTTACATGGCAAGAGCAAATAAAAAGTCACATAAAAAACCCATATTCGACACGCGACTTCATTCGTTTGCTGGGATAAGAGTTAATAGAGATATACAGAAGTAGAGACGGAATGTAAATTCTTATTTATACTTTGTTATACACCTTAATAATACGTAAAGAAATACGACAGTGGAAAGCCAATGCATGGAAGCGAGCTTAACTTTACAAGAGTTCTCTTCCAGCAAACCCAATGTGAAAAAGAGCATCAATGTCAGCGAGTAGAGAGCACACAAAAAGAACTATTTTTTCTGCTACTCAGAAGGCCGAACAAACAGAAGGCCCACCTCATGAAAAGTGGTAATCGTCACCTATAGACATGAGCAGCACCATGGGCATAACAGAGTATACTGTTTCGCTCATGATATCCCCCATTCCTAAGGACTCAGGTGTTATTTCTCTGTACCCTGTAAATCTACTGTCATATCCTACCCTTCAAACCGAAACATAGTCATGCAAACACAACTACTTCACGATAGAAACACGAATGGAAGAGTGGAACTCTGTTATGTCCATGGTACTGCTCATGTGTATAGGCGACGGTTACCACTTTCCATCAGGTGGGCCGTCAGCATATTTGCTATTCTAAGTTGTATAAAAAAAATGACTTTTGTACAAAGTCTCCCTTTGGTAAACTAGACAAACTTAAGTTTATACATAACTAATTATATCATATTTATATTTTATATAACATTTATACAATTATATATTTAGACCTACATACTGTTTCAGAAACCTCAGATCCCTATAAGTACTGTGTTACTCTCCAATCACTTTATATTCTACCGAATCCTTGACCTAAGACAAACAGAAAAAATGTTCAGCTCAGCCGAGTATCTGCTGAGAACCGTCGTGCAATGAGTTGTTGTTTTGATCCTATGTTAAGTGATGCCTGTGGTGACAGAGTAAGAAAAAGAGATCCCCACTCCTTCTCAACCTTGACAATAAACTAAAAAACAATACCATAATAAATATAATATTGTTACTCTAAGTTTAATTTAGCCGATTGTAAATATTAGCGATGTCATGTTCATTTAATTAAATCTTGTTTTTATTTGTAAAAAGCTGTAATTGGCTTTTTGTCTTTAAAAAAAAATTTTTTTACAATACAGGGGCGAACAAGCATGCGGCTCACCTGATGGCAAATGACTACCGCCGCCCATAATCACCCAAAACACCAAAGGCATTGCAGGTGTGCTGCTGGCATTTTAAAAAGGAACATGCTCTTTTTTAAATGTCGTATCGGTTTCGAAATACTGCTGCTGGAAGTTGATTCCAAACA